GGAGGGGACACAGGGAGGGGACACGAGGAGGGGACACAGGGAGGGGACACGGGGAGGGGACACGGGGAGGGGACACAGGGAGAGGACACGAGGAGGGGACACAGGGAGGGGACACAGGGAGGGGACACAGGGAGGGGACACAGCACTGACACAGGAGGGGGGAACGACATGGACACATCAGGGGGACACGGGGAGGGGACACCCCGCGGCCATGCGATGGCACAGACACACAGGGGGACAAAGCAGGGGCTGGGGGGGCTGCAGAGGGTCCCAGGGAGGGGCCACCCCACGGGTGGGTGACCCCGGGGGCCTCCCCGGTGACGTCCCCGCCGTCCCCAAGCCTACCAGTACCAGCTGGCCCTGGAGCGCTACGAGTGGAACGAGGTGAAGAACGTCAAGTCCATCGTGCCCATGATCCACGTGTCCTGGAACGTGGCCAGGACCGTCAAGATCAGCGACCCCGACCTCTACAAGATGATCAAGTGAGGGGGGGGACACGGGGGGACACGGGGGACACAGACAAGGGAGGGATGTGGGGACATGGGGGGGACATGGAGGGAAGGGGGACTTAGACAAGGGAGGGACATGTGGGGACAGGAAGGGAAGGGAGACATGGACAAGGAGGAACGTGGGGACATGGAAGGGGGGCATGAATAAGGGAGGGACATTTGGGGACATGGACAGGAGAGGGACATGTGGGGACCTGGAAGGAAGGGGGACATGGACAAGGGAGGGACATGGGGGGACAGGAAGGGAAGGGAGACATGGACAAGGAGGGATGTGGGGACATGGAGGGAAGGGGGACATGGACAAGGGAGGGACATGGGAGGACATGGATGTGTTGGGGACACAGGAATGGGGACAGGGACATGGGGGGATGGGTGATGAGGTGGATGGGTTGGGGACACAGGAACAGGGAGAGGGCAGGGGACACACAAGGACAGGGACAGGGGAGGGGACATGTGGGGACACGGAGGAACAGGGACACAGACGGGAGACATCGAGATGTGGGCATGGGGATGGGGACAGGGATGGGTGTCAGTGGGTGACAGTGGGTGACGGTGTTGATGTGTGACAGTGGGTGTCAGTAGGTGTCAGTAGGTGACCATGTGGGTGTCGGTGGGTGACAGTAGGTGACCGTGGGTGTTGATGGATGACAGTAGGTGCCAGTGGGTGTTGATGGGTGACGGCAGGTGTCAGTAGGTGTCAGTAGGTGACCATGGGTGTTGATGGGTGTCAGTAGGTGACTGTGGGTGTCAGTGGGTGTCTGTGGGTGTTGATGGGTGTCAGTAGGTGTCAGTAGGTGACAGTGCGTGTCAGTAGGTGACCATGTAGGTGTCAGTGGGTGCCAGCCGGTGCCAGTGTCCCCATGTCCCCGTGTCCCCGTGTCCCCCGCAGGTACTGCCTGCTGCAGTCCATCAAGCACTGCCAGGTGCAGCGCGAGAGCCTCGTGCGCGCGGGCAAGAAAATCGCCTACCAGGGCCGGGTGAAGGACGAGCCGGCCTACTACTGCAACGAGTGTGACGTGAGTATGGGGGGCTGCACGGGGGGCCTGGGGGGGGCCCTGACCCTGACCGTGACCGTGGGGTGCCCCTGGCCGTGCCCTTGGCAATGGGGTGTTGTTGGCCATGGCCATAGATGTTCCATTGGCCATGGGGTGTCCTTGGCTCTGCCGTTGGCCATGGGGCGCCATTGGCCACGGCCCTTGGCTGTTCCGTTGGCCATGGCCATGCCCTTGGTTGTTCCCTTGGCCATGGGGTGCCCTTGGCTGTTCCCTTGGCCATGGCCATGCCCTTGGCTGTTCCCTTGGCTGTTCCCTTGGCCGTGGGGTGCCCCTGCCCACGAGTGTTCCTAACATCACCAGATGTGTCCCCAACACACCCTTGGGTGTCCCCAACCCCATCCATGGTGTTCCCAATGCCCTTGGATGACCCCCAGCATCCTTGGACTGTCCCCAACCCCTTCCATGGTGTCCCCAACCCCATCCCTGGTGTCCCCAACCCCACCCAGGGTGTCCCCAGCCCCATCCGTGGTGTCCCCAACCCCATCCAGGGTGTCCCCAACCCTCTCTACGGTGTCCCCAACCCCATCCAGGGTGTCCCCAACCCCATCCGTGGTGTCCCCAACCCCCTCCATGGTGTCCCCAACCCCATCCCAGGATGTCCCCAATCCCCTCCATGATGTCCCCAACCCCCT